TGTTGTAGTGTTTGGGCTGTTTCTCTTTTTGGTCTTTCATTCTATTCCTTTCTTCTTGTAGGAATTCTGACCCTCTTGGCTTCAATAGGTTGCTCGTTATTGGTAGGGTTGTTGGTGTTCTTCTGCTATGTAGCTGCTGTGCTTGACTGGAGCTGATTCCAGAAAGGGGCATCTTTCATGTCTGATAACTGGCTTAGCTGTGTCTTCAAGGGCAAGTAAAGTTATTAAATTCCTACCTTCTGGCAGAGTGTTTAAACTCCTGTGAGCTATGCTGTGGTCCATTATCACTTATGATTGTTTTGGATTCCTTACCTAGTGAAGTGACTTATCACGTTGGTGATGATAGATTTGCTGCCGAGGTCTTACAGGCAGTCCACTTCCTAGAAGTGTAATAGGTTATCATCCCTTATTAGGTAACGCTGGCCCTCTAGTTTGAACAATTCAGCTCCAAGTATTTCCCATGGGTGATTTGGAAGATCATATGGCATTCAAGTTTCTTTGTGGTTGCTTAACATGTATGTCCAGTAGGTTGCACAAAGACCTACATATGCACAGTAGCAACTTTTCCCCTAATATACATGTACTTGTAGGCATGTGACTTAGCAGCTCCAATCAGTATATTCTCTTTATAAATTGTTGATCACTTCTTGAAAAATCTGAAAACTCTCCGATACCCTACTTTAGGTCAAGGCCCCAAAATCTGATTAACCCCAAGGCTGAGCCCACAAGTATGGTACATTCATACAAGAGTATACAAGACCCAGGGATCCAGTCACACCAGGCAACAATTGTTTTGTTATACCAGGGTAATAGATTTTCAAATGCAAAAGAACTTACATTTTACTGTGGAGCAATATATGCAATGCATTTCATTTCACTGAGATTGTCTTTAATAAAGTGTTCAGTTAAACAAATACAACTAAATTAACAACCAGGTTCGTTGATTTTTAAAAAAGATTTTAAAGAAAATTTTAAAAATAAGATTTTTAAAAATTCAAATCAAGTTTTTTAAATTTTACAAAAATTGGAGACAAGTTGGCACAATTGTCTATTCAAAAGCAAGCAAATTAGCTGCATGTGCAATACATGTAGATTTCTTTTATTTATTATATTACAAAACTAAACAAATTTAGCTTTGCATTGAAAAATTTACTTCAAGTAATTTGATTAAATTCACAAACCATCATGCCTTAGCCTTGGTGAAATGCTTGCAGTATAACACCTACCAGTACATGTACCCAAAGAGAAGACACTTCCTCCAGAGACAAGTACATGTACCAAGGATAAAGTGCATGCCAGGTTTAACCAAACTCTAAGTTTTGACAAAATTAAAGTTCACAAGAATTTGTTTAATACTAGCAAAAACTTGAAGGCTCACAGAGGGGGGATTTGTTGTTCAAAATGTGCAAAACCTGCAAACATTTCCAATTAGCAAAGAAGAATTTAAAAATTGAAACCTTTTGGCCTCCCCCCAAAAATTAAATATATTGATTTAAATTAATGATTTAAAAAATCATGAATTTGATTTACTGATTTAAATCAAATTGCTGATTTAAATCAAGGTAATTTAAATCAGCCAACCCTGTAAACAACTGGTAGGGAATATCATCTCTCGTCTTGACATTTCCGAAGAAATTCTCTGGTAAGCTTTCCAATTCTGTCGGAGTAACAGTTGAGCCTCTCCTCTCACGTCTGCTGTGGTGCAGAAATTTGAACCACAATCACACATGCACAAAATGTTACATATTTTCTTTGTGCTGTGCTCCACCTGAACAAAAATCAAATTTCTTATCTCGTCTTAAAACAGGAAAAATTTTCTTTACTAAGGGTGACCTGGTGCCATCTCCAGACATTAACATTATTTGCGGCAAAACTGGCCCAGTTAAAAAAAACAGACAAACAATGTAAAAATTAAATGTAGTGGCAGTTGTACCAACAGCAGGAACACATACACTGTACTACCCCCACTACACATCTCATACATGAATTAGCAGAGTACCAGCACATCTACACAAACTTACACCCAACATTACACAATTAAAGTCATTGGAAATGACGCAACTGTGGGAATAGTAAAGGTTATCCATTTTTTGTGTAGCAAGGCATCACTGCCAATACTGGTACACTTGAACATTTATATATGCTACAAACATGCTTAAGCTCGTAGCATATCATGTGATCAATTTGGCATCAACAGGTCTCTCACAAATGACATCACTCCCAACAGATTTCAATGTGCATCAGTGCTTTGGACTTCAAATTTCACAATGAACATCAAATACATATGAATCAACATGCACGTGTATATAACATCTGTACACTGCCCATAACATGTACATGTACACCTGATGATGCTGAATGAGCAGAAACAAGATGGTCTACTTTAAGAAAGAGCTATAAAAATTTAGTATCTACACGTACACGTACATATACATGTATTCATGACCATTGCATTATTATTTTTTATTATTTATCCTGGGGAAACCTCTCAGTGAAACACTGATTTCCAGAAG